CTGAAAAACAATTCAACGATTAACAAATAAAAATTGGTGAGAAACAGTAAAAGTTAAAAATTGTTAATGAATTGTTTTCATTCCAGGTGAAGAAACTCGAAAATCATTATCATTTTTATCCAAAGTTGAAAAAGAAACTTTTTTTCAAGATGTACGAAATATTTTGCATTCAATTGCTTCATATTTAAAATTAAATCTTCCATTGGATAATTCATTCTTGCGTGACATACAAATATTGAGAATTTCTCGTCGTTCTGATCCTGAAGGAAGTAATACCATTGTTCGTATTGGTCGATGTGTACTTGGTTTATTATCGTCAAATGAAATCGATCTTCTTAGTAATGAATGGTTAATGTATTCATTGGAAATAATTGATAATTCTTGGATAATTAAAAGAAAATATAATGATTTTGAAGGAAAAGAACATATTGAATATCACGAAATTGATTATTATTGGAACAAGGTATTTTCAATGGTCTAAAGTACTGGATATCCAAAATATCCAACGTTGTCCAAACTCATCAAGAATATACTTATTAGATCACACGGCAACAGTGATGTTGAACGTGGTTTTAGCATTAATAGCAATCTTCTTACCGAAGAACGAACTCTTTTATCAGAAAAATCAATAAATGGACTTCGTGGTATTTTCGATACTGTTGATTTTTTTGGCGATGGATCAGTACATAAAGTAACAGTTGACATAATTATCGAGGTTGTTCAATGAAGGTTGAATCCTTTGTTTTAGATGGTGATTAGTACCGATATGCTTCATGCGTTTCAAAAATCAGCATCATTATATAAGGAAGAATTGTCAAAAAATGAGAGCGGTGGCTGCTGCTCAAGAACAAGAAAATGAACAAAGCGAAAAAATCGAAGCTGAAAAAATGAAATTGTTGGAACAGGAGAAAGACCTTATGTTGAAATATAAAAAGCTTCAATCAGAACAAAAAGCAGCTCAGATGTTACTTGAAGAAGGAAATCAACGTTTAGAAAATACATTAAAAAAAAAGGTGATCTTACTGATGTACAAGCAGCCTATACATTAAGCAAGAGTGGAACAGAAAAAATAAAATCTATTGATGAAGAAATGACAAAAATTATAGAAGATGTATCGGTAATTCAACAAAAACGAGGTGATGCTGAACGTGAACAATTAAAAAAAGAAAAATAAATTAGTTTCTGAACAGTTAATGAATAAAGATGATGAAATTTAGTGATAAACAATTTTCGTTGTTATGAAACAGTCAAATAAGATTGTTTTTATGATTCATCAGATGTTTTGATTTGATTTGTTTTTGTTCTAAGCAATTGATTTTTCGTTTTTTTTGTTTGAAAGATATGAATAAACATGTTGAAATTGTGATAAATTTCTTATTACACCCCTCCTAAGCGAATAATCGTACCCTTAAAATTTTATAAAAGTCACTTGTCATAATAAAAAATAACTCTTCCATTTGTCCTCCAATGTGGCAATACATCCTCCAAGATTTTTTTGGATAAATCCTCCCTATTCCTCCTTTTTTCCAGATCAGCGTTAACATGCCAGCTTTATCCGACGTTATTGACATTATCGGAAAGGTGATAATGACATAAAAGAGTGATTTAATTCGATCTTTGTAAGATGCTGGTGATTGAGAGTTGGTTCCTCCTTATACTAGGTGAGAAGGCCTGATCACCAATATCATGTCCTACTTAGTGTTCTTTCTTATACGTTTCTACATGATCCTCATATATGGTCACTTAAAAGAATTCAAGAGCGCAATGTAGATATTAATAACTACTATTCGTTTATTCCTAAATCACAACCAACTACAACTGTCTTCAATGTTTTTCATCACGCTGGGAAAAAGTCGGGTCAATGCAGAAACCGCATCACTTCTGTAAAAGCTCGAAAAAATAAATAAATCACAAGTATTACCATTAAAAATTAAAAAAAAGAGTTATTTCATTTTGGTCACATTTTTAACATATTTTACTTCACAGAAACAGTGTAAAAAGCTTGTACAATGTATATTCAAGTGAGATCTATTCAAATAACTGATATTCGCAGATTTTCTGAATCACTTTCTTGGTGTTCGTAGACGATTATATAAGTCACAGTGCGGTTAAACAAATATTAGTAGATATTTATAGATATACTTTCGATAGAGTGATACACGTTTTGCGTCAAGATTAGTTAAAGTGAGTGTTTATTTTCATTGGACTGGTGTTCGCAGAAAAAATTTGACTTGTGTCCTTCGAATGTATTTTCGGACCCATTCAAAGTAAGTGTTCGCAGGTGTTCGTGAGCATAACTCATCGAGTTCTATCTGCCTACGTATATAAATAAGTTTAAGTTATCTTTCCTTTCAAGGTGTTCGCAGGTGTTCGTGTATTTTACAGATACCCGTAGCATTTTTGTACATATTATCATCAAAATCTTAGTTACCTTATGCTGATAGTTCAACGCTCGTCTCTTAATTAACTAAACATGATGTATAGTATTGGCAAAAAAAACCAGCAAGCTAATTATGTAATATATAGACATTGTCAATGAATTGAGGCTAATTAAAACAATAAATAAAAGTGAGATAGAGACAAAAAAATGAATCAAGGAGACTATTAACTAAAAAATTATTTAAATAGTTGATCCTTCAAAAGAAAAGTCGATCATTGTGATCGATTTCATATCTGTCTCAATTGTGTGTAATGTACAGATCATATTGGCACTGTGTGTGTGTGTTATTTAATAGACTTGTTTCTATTTTCGACATTACCCTAATAAATTACTCACTATGACTAAATAAACAAAAATCCAATATATGAAGAAAATTTTGTATTGAGATGCTGTTGATTAGGCTTGCTCTTGTGTATGTAACACTGTTAACTTGTTTTGTCAAATGATTCTTTTTTTACCTTTGCAGCAAGACAACTTTAGACGTTTGTTATCATTCGTTATTTTGTCTAATTTTCTTTCCTTTTTTTTTATTTTGTCTTGCTACATATTCTAGTACGAACAGGTCTACACAAAATGTGCACAGAAAGTTGCATACGATGACACATGTACACAAAACGATATGCTTCAGTGATTTAAGCACGGTGAATCTTGCACATAAAATACAAAAAAAAAACAGATACCTGAAAAGATATCGAAAAGCAGAAGAAAGTAGAAAAAAACTAAACTGATTTTTATTTTAAAATCCGTAAAATGTTATACTCATGTATATATAAATAGAATCTAAAAAATTTCTATCGTTATTCTTATACATAGTTGATATTAAAATTGTACAACAGTCCATACTCATCTTTTTATACTTCGAACTTTTTCTTCTTGAAACAAATTTAGTTTAATGACATTATGAAATTAAAACATTCGAATACTTAATATCAACAGTAAATAATTCAGTGTCTATGATAAATACATTCTTGCTTATAAATTAACACTTTACAAGACATCTTTAACTTTTTTATTAGCTTTAATAATGATTCATTGTATTGTTTATGATTGATCGTTTGATAATCGGAGTCTAAGATAGTTTGCTCTCACTAAATGATTCATGTTATGTATGAATATTTGTTTTCTATTCAAATATCTTGCTTGATATTCAATACCTAAGTCTTATAATACAACGTACGAAATTGTTATCAAATGTATATGTGAGAAAAGAGCTTGCATATTTTTCTCTTTCAACATACAAAAATGATTGTGAAAAAGTAAAATATTCATGTATTTAATATTTGATTTTAAAAAATAAAATAAGAATGATCATATCTACAATTCATTCGACTGGAGATTATCGAACCCAAACTTGAAGCATACTCTTTATATTCTCCATCAAAATGCTTTCATCCGAATCTGATAGCCACTGTAAAAACAAGACAAACTCTTTTTTCGATTACTAGCATGTTCTAGACATTGACAGTGGTTTTATGATAATCAAGTTACAATTGGTTTGAATCTTGCAATAGAAGCCATCGAGATGCTTCCAAACTTGATCAATCAAGTTTTCGGATATGTATCTGACTTTATTCTCAACTTGATGAATTCTAATGTCCATTTCAGAGATAAATGGCCGTGGGTATTTTTCGAATAACTTTTGATAGGAACGAGATAAAGATCTGCGGTTTTCACCGTTGGAAAGAGCAGATGAAAATGCATCGAACAATATATAGAAAGATTTTTCTAACAACTTTCCTAAAGGTTTTAGTCAAACGTTTTCAAAGAATTGCGTTTTTCTCCTACGTTAAAAAAGTGATTTTTCTATCGAAATATCACAAAAAACCTCCATTTTTCGACTATTTTGTTGAAAAACTGGGTGGTGAATTGCACTCCAATGGCTAGAATATCGTATTGGTAGTAGTTAGGAATAGAGCCTTTCCATTGTTTTTTGTAGCTCTTCATTTTGCGGTTCTAGCACACTCCTGAAAGTCAATAAATTAATATCGCAATCATGAGAGGCATGCTGATTTTCTTGAAGTTTTACGTAAAACCTTCAGGAAAGTCGTTAGAAAAATCTTTCTATATATCGTTCGATGCATTTTCATCTGCTCTTTCCAACGGTGAAAACCGCAGGTCTCTATCTCATTCCTATCAAAAGTTATTCAAAAAATACTCACGGCCATTTATCTCTGAAATGGACATTAGTCATTATCTTTCGACATATAAACAAATGTAAGTGTCATATAGTGATAACGGTACAATAGGCGTTAACGTAATACGTTATTTGCAATCGTATATCAAAAATAAACGATAGAAATGACTCATGTTGATCAGGAAAGAAAAAATATCGATAAACTGCGTATGCATAATTACGCCCTGTAATGACGATTGTGGAAAATTACCTACTTGCTTATTGATATTGCACCTGTCGCTGGATTATTCCTAACGACTTTTATATATAATAAGAATATGAGTCTGATAATTCGTTATACTTGTTTATTTGTCTCTTACATTTATTATCATTTTAATAATCAATTCAATTAAGATGAAAATGATTACTAGAATTTTTGCCATTATTATGGTAATAGTTTTAATTAGTGGTGTTAATGCTAATCCAGTAAAAAATGTAAGTAATCAAATATAAATAAAAACATACTTCTTATAATATATTTATTTAGTATTCTAATCATTTATCCAAACAAAGACTTGCATCTTTATTGAAAGCAAAACGACATGTAGTATTCGATGATAAACTAGAAGCAGCGGAACATAAAGCACCAAAACGTAGAGTATATTTTCATGATGAAGATCAAAGAGATGAAAATGATTATCTACGAAGAGGTAACGATTTTTGAATTGATCTAACTAGAAAAAAAATGTTGTTTTTTATTTAGTTGTTCGTGATAAGATCATTGGTTTAGGTGATGATCCAGTTTAGAAGATTGTCCTTGTTACAAGTTATCAGAGGTGCAGAATATACTCGACTGCGCCAGCGCCGCTGGAGGAAAAACTTCGATTTCTAGGGACGGTTTGGGGAAATTGCTGGGGGAAATTTTTCGAAATCACGGCAGATTCTGCACCTCTGCAAGTTACATATATATATTTCAGCTTCGAGCATTCTTATCGATGTCATTTTAAAAGAAGAACATAATCTTTTATTTTTCTTCCAATTCTATTTGGAAATAAATATTGTATCGTTTTCTGTTTATATAGATATGTATGTGTTCATTGATAAATTTTGATGTCATGCTATTGTGATTTTCATTTTGTGTTAAGTTAAGAAACATGAATTTTAATTTTATGTTAAAGATATTATGCCCGGTTTTGTATTTAAAGTACAGGTCATTCCATTTATTTTGAAACAAAATAGAAAGCTTTTTATTCTTTTATTTTTCCACGTTTATTGTAATAGATGTTCAATATGTGATCCATGAGCATAGTAAATTAATCTACAACACTTTGACCAATTCTCCAAAACGTTATCGATTACAGCCTGCTCAAGATTTTCCCACTCTTGTTTGATAGCATTTTTCAGACCATTTAATGTTGACACCTTGTGTTTTCGTACACGTTCTTTCATAATTCCCCAAATCGAGTAGTCCATTGGAGCAGCATCTGGACTCTTAGGTAACCACTCGTGCGGTGCAATAACTTGAATGTTATGCTCCTTCATATAAGAAAGTGTAACTTTTGCTACATGACCAGGTGCGCTATCTTGATGAAGAATCATTATTTTTCGTGCATCACCAGGAAATAAACGAGGAATATCATATTTGATAAATGGTTCTATTATATGCTCAATGTAGTACTTGCTGGTAATTGTTGAGCCATATTCAATAAAATGCAACTGAGTTTTACCATGTGCACTCACACCAGCCTAAACAAGCACAGCAACAGGATGTAAATCATTTCGTTCGATTTTTTTAACTTCTTCTGGTATTTCATTACTTCTAACATAATATATATCTCTGACACCTTGGCTTGAGTCGAGGTAAAACCATGCTTCATCAGTAGTCACATAATTTTTGTATCTACCGTAGCATAATCGTCGATACATACGCCAAGCTCGAGATCGTCTTTTTTCAATAACAGCTAGATATAACCGATGCACCGGTCTTTTCTTGCGACATTTTGCGTGAATAACATCACGAATGATACGAAATGTAGTACCAACACCGATATGACACCTTGCAGCCATTAAAGAAATTGTTGAAGGATTTTCTTTATTAATATAAGATGTAATACGACGTACAACTGCAGGTGTTGCTACATGACGTCGACGATAATATTTTGGTTTTTGACTATTTAATAAGCCTGCTTGGCGTTGTTTTTCGACCTGGTTAGCAATACGACTGATGGTACTTCTTGATACATTTAAATTCATTTCCGATAATTCTTCTTGGATCACAGAATATGAATACTTTTTCGTCAAAAGATATTTGACAATACCTTCAATATTATCCGATATTCTATTACGAGGCATTCTTTTATCTAAAACATAAATATCATGACAACAACTACAGTGTTAGGGATGTCAACTGATATGAAAATCATGAGATCTATGTCGCTTATTAAAGGAAAAAACTGCATTCAAATCGTTTCAAAATAAATGGAATGACCTGTATTATTAAAGTAAATTCTAGTAGTTCATAACAAGATTAATAATCCCACAAATTTTGACAACACATTTTGTTAGAATCAGAATCTATGATTACATGGTTTGATAAATAGTTAATATAAATAATGTTCCGTTCATATTGATGAATGATCTGTTGCATCGTTTCACTAAAAAAACAAAAATATACTATCAACAATTGAAATATCTTTACTTCAGTTCAGTTAAGCGAGCTGATTCTTTTTTTGTTGTTGATGTTATTATAGATGCATTTAAAGTTTGTTTTTCTATAGAGTTTATATAGCGAGATATACTTTTGAAGTATCATTATAGATTTCGCTCAAAAAAAAGTAACCTTTTGTTCATGAAGAAAAATATATCTAGAGTGATTCTTAAATAATTTGCGGTTTTTATCTAAGACATGAATAAAAAAATTGAAACAAATGCTATTAATGATATCAAATTGATGTACATAGAAGTTATGTAGCAACGATATCCGTGGTGGCGCAGGTAATGTTTCAAAACCAATAGTCAGAAACATGATGAATCCTAATAGATTCAACCTAACTACGTTAGTTTAGTACAGTGATAGAAGAGGTTTTTGAAGAATAC